GTGTTATGTTATGCTCATATCTTAAAAAAATCCGTGTCAGTAAACCTCAGCTCCAGTGACTTCTGAAGGAACTTAGAAATACAGTTCAAATCCCTTCAGGACTGTATAGGAAAGCCTGGGAAACTTAATTACTAAAAAGGCTTGTTTTGCCAGTAGCTCTGCAGATTTGAGCAGAGCTTGTTGGACTGAATCCCAATGCTAGTGGAGAGGACACGTAGCAGCTGAGAAGCTCAAGTGCCCAAACTGCAGTAGCCTAATCACATCATGATGTATCTGGATGGATGCACATGGTAAGGGCTATCCCAGTGACCGAAAAGAGATTTGCAAAAGGATGCACAGCCTGCAGTCCTTGCCACCATAAATCTTCCTCAGAGTTTTCTAGGAGGAATGGGATGAAAATTGTGAAATCTGTCAGCGTGTTCTGTAATAGCAAGAGGAAGGCTATTTATAAAACTTAAGCAGAAGCTTAAGTAACCTGGCTGTCAGAGAAAATATCTGACTGGCTGCACTTGATGTCACTGGGAATTGGCCATTATTAAAGAGCCGATCCCGAGCTCTGGCCATTCGTCATTCACGGGGTGTGTGTGGAGTTATTTGAAAGAGGGTGGAGGGGGGGAATGGGAGGAAGCTTCCCGGGATGGCCCTGAGCACAGGAGGAGGCCTTGGAGGCTTGTCGGAGCCGCGGGGAGGCTCGGAGGCAGAACCCGTGTTCAAAAGCCCTTTTCTCTCATTGAGGCTAAGCAGGGAGAGCAGCCTCCCTCTCTGGGCATCGCTGGTGGCAGAGGGGGATTTGCTTTTGGGGGGGTTTCATGCCCTCATTTGAAAACAGGGGAAAGGAGACAAAATCAGGAAGGAGTGCTGCTCCTTCATGGAGCTATAAACTACTATTTTAAAGTCATCGAGACTAAACAGATGAGAGTGCCCTATTGCCTGGTTCCTATTTTAACTGAACTGCAGTGATTCAGTTTTTGTACTGGAGTAAGAATTTGGACAACAGTGCTCAAGAGCAGTATTTACACGAGAAATTGTTTTTTTTATTAACAAAACAAGAGCCAGAATCTCCAGACAACTCCATTTAATAGAAACATGCTGTTACTCTCTTTGACAACCAAAGAACACTCAGGCTTATCTTTTCCTGATATTACTGGTGCATGCTCCTGCTTGAGATACTTCATGTTAGAAGCATTTCATCATGTAGTTTCTAGTCTGCTGTGTCCCACGGAAAAAGAAATAAACATAGATGAAACTACAGCCTAGGTAGCACTGATAGAAGACCTAAGAAAATTTAGTGTGAAGAAATAATTCTTGCCTTTCCAGAAATGAAACAGAATATTTTTATTGTTAAAATACTTAACAATTGAAAAAAAAGGTAGCACAAGTGTGTTGTAAAACAAAGGACATAGAGCACATTAATTTATAAAATACTTTAATTTTTAGGCGTAGGGGACACTGAAATCTTACATCTCAGTGAAATCTTCATGAAGTATCCTAATGGTGGTAACACTGGCAAGGTTTTGATATAAAACCACACATAAGTCTCGTTAAAATATAGTCTTAGTGTTTCATTATGCCCGCAACAAATATATCAGCCTGTAGTCCCCTGTGGCTTGGTGGAAACACTGCTATCAGATAAAGTTTAATTACCTCAAAGTCCCTTGTCTAGAAAATTTAGGTTGCCGTTTATTTCACACCTTCCTTTTAGGAGACAATAATTGTTAAATACCAAAACAATTTTGCAAGTGAATGGTTTCCATGTTAAATTTGATTTTTCTGTTAGTCGTACTCCTGCTTTATGTTTTCACTTTACAATTGCTTGGGCTTAATTCAGTGATAGAACTGTGCTCTTTCCACTTACTGCTAATGTCTGTAATAAATATAACGTGGTTGTATAGGCAAAATAATTAGTCTGGCTCTGCATTACTTTATAGTAGTTGAAGCCACTTCTCTGCGTAGTGCGTTAATCATCGATCTCAGTGAATTTTTTAGAATATACTTAAATTACCATGGGTTCGATCAGAGAGGCAGCAGTGAGTTTGCCCAAATTGGGTTGTGAGTGGAAAAAGTAACTCCACTAACAGTAAGAGCATTTCAGATATCAAGTCAGTCAGTCATTTACCTGCCCAAAATAATGTATTAATGGAATGTACACAGTTGTCAAAATCCCTGCTGTAATGGAAAAATACCTGCTCTTCAGCAGTCATAAGGAGTTTAAACCTTTGAGATTGATACTTGAATCTGTAGAATAACATTAGGAATATGGAATGTAGAGTGAATCATCCACATCTTGTCAACTATAAGTAGCATAAATAGTTATGGACAGGCACTGTGAAAATTGGGATTCAGGGATTGATTTAGTATGCCAAGCTGTCCTCTAATTTGTGTTGTTATTAAGGTGAAATATTTAGGTCTCAAGAATGAGGAGTTTTCCTGCTTTGATTGCTACAGTACAACTGACAGTTAATCTGCAAAAAAACCAAAATGCTAATCCTCAGGGGAGCTTCTCACCTGGGTCTGCTTGATGTAAATCAGATGCAGTAATATGAGTCTGAAAATATTCATGACAGAGTGGATATCTGCCCATGGAGTACTGTTTAATAACCAAGAAAGATGAGGGAGTGAATATTGGCTTTAGAAAAACTCTGTTTATCTAGAAAGAAAGAATGTTCTTCAATGGACAATATTTATGGCCTAGCAGAGAACTAGATGGAGAGGCAGTACCTAAAATGGGTATGAAACTTTTGAAGAAGGGTATTAAAAGTTTTTGAGTTAATTAGTGGACCATCTTTTAGCCCTTGGCTTGGTAGGGTTTTAATTGCTAAAAACTGGGGCCTGTACTTTCCTGAGAACACAGCGAAGATAATGCAATTAGTTTTGCTGATGCATGAACATGCCAAGATCAAATTCAAGACAGAGGATTTAGGTTTGGCCTCTGTGAATTTCTACGTGGCAGATCTAGTCTGAACTGTGTTTTTACCGTGGGGAAATTGAGGCCTCTTATTTACAGAGGAGAGTATCTGTAGGGAGATAAAACCAAAACCATAACCTGGGCTTGTATTGGAAGATACTGGTTTGACTTGTGTTTTTCCAAAATATTTGTCCAATTTTAGAAATCCTATAATAGGTACAGTTAACACATCTTTAAAATAGTTGTTGTACGGATTTTCAATTTTTAGATGAGGGTTTGCTTTGGGATTTTTAGATTTGGGTTAGCTCATTGAATCACTAATAATTATATGTAAAGAAAAAAGGCTTTCCTCATGTAAACTACACCAATAATAATAGGATTTGACAGAATAATTGTATTAGACAATGTACAGCTGGTCAGTCCCCCAATAAGCACAACTTAATGCAGTACTGAGCCTATTACAAACAGCGCTGGCAGCCCCGTGCCAAAGGGCAGTCAAGGATCAGGGAAGTTGTTTGCTTAACATCTCTGGAAAAACAAACCACCCCTCCCTTTCTAAGTGTTTTACCACAGACGTGTGGCAAAAACTATTCACTTGGGACCTTTGGATATGTTTTAGAAGGCTTGAAGCAGACCACACGGATTCTCAAGTTCAGCTTCCTACGATCATCGTGAGGTAGAAATTTAGTTTAGAACTTTTAGACACAGAAGGTTTTTTCAGAAATCATGGGTCCCTAAACCTTTACAATTCCTTCTTCCAGGAGGAAACAGTCACTCACAGCCAGTCTTCTGTTTTATTTTGAAACTTGGCATTCAAACCCCATTTTCCTCCAACAGTTGAACTTGATTATGCCTTAATAGTTTCCTTAGTAAAATTTACATTTTTTTTCAATTCACATACCAATAAAACAATTATTGTCAGTACAATGGTAGTGCTGTGCTTAAATTATGGAGTGGAGTGTAATATAAAACATGATATTCCCTCATATGTGTACAGAATGATGTATTGTGTTTGAATGCAATGTTACTGTGACAATTGGTGACCCAAATTACTTTCACAGTCATGATGAGATACTGCATATACTGTGTGCTGTCAGGTGCCAAGAAGCATAAATATGATTCTATTGTGTAAACAAACAGCTAGAAGTTTCCAATCTTGTTACTATGTAATAAGTTTTGGGCAAGGAAATAAAATAAGATTTACTGAGGCTTGGGTTAGAATAACAGATAAGCAACCATGTTAAAAAAAATCCACGAAGAACAATAATAGAGCATTGTTAAAGACTGTATTAGTGAAACAGCCCTATTCTTTGTAAATTGTTATGTTCCAACTTCTTCCTTTTGCGCCACCTGAAGTTTTCTTAAGAAAATTGCTTTTTCCTTAACAGTAAGGAGCTTTTGTTCAGGATGTGGCTACGCTGTTATAAAACATTGTACACCTCTTGGCTGCTACTCCATCCCTGGCAAACAGACTTTGTCTTTCAGCCCTTTTTCAAGACTAAAAATTGCTGAAGAGCACCAGGCAGCAATACTGTTGTGGGTGGTTAAGTGGTATCCAGAACTCAAATTTCTTTCTAAATTTTATGCCTGTCCCTTTTTCTAAAATATGTGCTGCTGATACAACTTAAGTAGCTGAATATTGTATAAGCTATAAAAATGGCATTGCAATTTTTTTTCATGTCTGAGTTACAGGCTATGTCTGTAGGAAAAATGATAATGTGAAAAGTGGCATAACAGGTGTGGATAACGTGATACAACCTTTATAGTCATAGAATGGTTCAGGTTGGAAGGAACCTTAACGATCATCGAGTTCCAACCCCTCTGCCATAATATTTGCAGTTGTCTGTTAAGTTTGTTTTTTTATTTTCCTAGTAATTCCTGATAGAAATTTAAACAGAATCTCAAAAAATGGCAGAAATGTCAAATGTATTCATTCAAGACATAACTGATTGCAAATACTATGTTGTTGCATAGCTGTTCTGGGCTTTCAGTGTGATTTTGTGGTAGAATATTGTAGGCTTACTAAACTGAATAGAGACATTCATGAAAAAAAAAAAACCCTGCTGAATTAAACTCCTTCCCTTTTTGCTCACAGCAATTACTTGTCGCAGACAAGACGGAGGACAGGCTGACATCAGCGAGTGCCTTAAATACTCTGGCCCATTACCACCCTTAACACAGACGTGCCAGATTCCCTGCCAAGAAGACTGTCAGTTTACCAACTGGTCAAAGTTTTCTTCCTGTAATGGGGACTGTGGAGGAGTCAGGACAAGAAAACGGACTCTTGTCGGTAAGAGTTAACAGAAAGAATACATCTTTCGTTAATTATTGCTACTGTTTTGATGAAAACCTGCATTGTTCTGAGGTTCCCTGGTGAAAAGCACAGTTCGTCCTCTTGGCAGAAAGCAGACCTGGTGTTACTGTCAAGCTCTATATACTGTAGGTGGGGAAAAAACAGAAAAAAACCCTCAGGAGGACAAACTCCTGCCAAAAATGTCAGACTCTTGATCACAGGGAAGTGGCTAGAGAGAAGAACAGAGAGGAGGACAGAGGAGGTGAGGTTTTCTTCTAAATAGAAGGCACAGAGTAAACTGCAAAGCAGACCATTTCTTTTTCTGACAGACAAGTCAGCACTGGCTGCAGTTCCAGGGAGGTAGAAAATGTAAATCAGTGTAATTGACCAACAGTCTGGTCCGATCCAAAGAAACAAAAGAAAAAAAAAATCTTCACCTGCATTTTTATTGAACCCTGTGTAATCTTTTCACCAAAAGAAGCACAATTGTTTGCTATTTAAAAGGTTTTCATACCATTTTTATTCCAAATTCTGGTACTGCAGCCTGCTTCTCTGCACAAAGAGGTCAGGAAGGTTGTTGGTTTATCATTGTTACAGAATCATGCCCATGAGATTATCTATCTGTGCTAAGCATTTAACAAATGTGAGAGACAGACCTTTGTGGTTATACTCTCTCAAGCAATTTCTCTGAGTTACAGCTTAAATTATGAAAATATTTTTTCAAGAGCTTTTTTTTCTTTTTTCCTTAAAATTTATTTGACTGAGATTTTTCAGGCAAATGGACACTTTAGTGTATGTCCAAAAGGATATAACTCACAAACACAAACTCTTCTACATGATGTCGGTGGTGTGAGGCACTGAGAGAAGTCCAGAACAACTTTGCTTTGCTCTGGGGAAGGAAAACTCTTCACATCACTCTCAAATCACTTTAAGTCCCAAACAAGATTAAAAAAGTTTAATTTTACTAAGACAAGAAGCTAGATTTGGATGACTGATAATGAAAACCAGAATGGCCGCAGAACCTATTAATTATTTGCTTTTTCTTGGTTTATGTGCACGTTTTCAGCTAAGATTTTAGAGAGCAGGTCTGCAATTTCTTTTGATTCCTCCTCAAGCATGACTCTATGCACAAGCTGTGTCTTGCTGGCCTTGTCTAACCAGATTGAATTCTTACCAGATTGACCTGGGTCTGTTTTCTTTGGGTTTGGTTTTTTTCCACACTGATCTGTAATTGAGAAAAAAAAAAAATCTTGTTGAAATTCCCCCGGAGCTTACAAGAGAAAACCTTTTAATAGAAAATCTAGTGAAAGTGGATTTTATTTTTATTTTTTTAAAAATTGGTGTCAGACGAATCAACAATCGTCTCGCCTTAACAGGTTCAGGTGTTAACCCGCTCACATCCCTTTTGGGTGGCGTTTTGGTGCATTAGAATTGCTACAGCAGCTGAGGGCTTTTCAGCCTTAAGCTTTGGTTTACCTCTTTTGAACTTCTTAGCTGCGGTCTTGAATGTGGGATTCACGATTCCATCCTTTCCCCAGCTGAGGGTTTGCTCTCCAAGTTCTTCGTGCTCTGCAATCTTCCATTGCCTTCACCCAGCAGCTCAGATCACTCTCTGAGGCAATATGTTGCTTAATTTTCTGCCTTATTTCTTGACACAACTAAGAATGCTTTTTTGTGGATGATTTTCCATTAGGTAGAGTCTTTCTCTGTCTTGTGACACTTTTTGAAACTGTGCTTCCCAAGCACTTTATCCAATGTTGGTTTTGTGCAAACTGTAGGTGTTCATTACTTTGGAAATTCAAGTCATTAACCTAAATGAATGAAGACTAATGGAACTAGCTTTTGGCATATGGATTTGATTGTCTTGAAATTACAGAAGTCTAAACGAAATTTTCAGGGAGATGTAAATTGATACAAACTTTCTAAAAGAATTATTTCTTCTTTCTAGGAAAAAGTAAGAAAAGAGATAAATGCAAAAATTCGCAGTTGTATCCTCTGATTGAGAACCAGTTCTGTCCGTGTGACAAGTACAGTGCTCAGCCTGTGGGAAACTGGTCAGACTGTATTTTACCAGAGGGTAAACTGGAAGTGCTGCTGGGAATGAAGGTCCAAGGAGACGTTAAGGAATGTGGACAAGGCTACCGCTACCAGGCCATGGCGTGCTACGACCAAAACAATCGACTTGTGGAAACGTCGCGATGCAACAGTCACGGTATTTGGAAAACTCTTTTCTTTCATGTGTTTACTTCGCTGCTTTATTTCATTTAACATAATATCTGTACAGGTAGAATTAGCAGATTCATATTGATTGGTTAGGCTGCCAACATACCTTCAAACCCAGCGCATGTTTTTCCTGACTCACAAAATTGTAAACTTATTTTTTCCTGATTACTACAGTGTCATGTTTAAAAATAAAATCCCGGTGAATTGCTAACTAGGTATTTTAATAGATAAGAGACAAATCTTGTTGGTTTTCCTGATAACTGTATCTGCAAATTTGAGAATAAAGCTATTTAGAAGTGTCAGATCCTCAAAAATTAACCAGGGACAGCTCGGGACTATTTTGGAAAGGCTGAAATGAGTTCCACAGATTCTTTAGATAGCTTTAATCTTCTTAAATAGCCTTATCTCTACCATTTGCTCTTCAGCACCTTAATAGGCAGGCATTGACCTGAGTGCTACAACATGCAACACTTTCTCTGTGTAATTCCGTCATGTGTAAAACTGGGATGTTTAAAGACTTTATATTCTTTGTGTGCACATTTCTCCTGGGGAGAGCCTTCCTAAAGTGGATGCATTTATTGTGTTAGGATCAAAACTGGCACTGTCTGATTTTCATGAGCCAAAATTGTGCTGGTTTACACCACTGGAGGGTTTTTTTTTTTCCTGCTTGCAATGCAAAGTTGTATCTGAGCTACTGGTATGAAAAGCTGGATGTTAGTCTCAGGGCTGTTAAAAGGTCAATGTAAGTTTAATTTGTATGTGTATTCTACTTTATAAGGTTAAATTAAGATAACAGAAGTTTCATTTATTACTTGGATAAAGTTAAAATGGCTAATCAAAGACATTGAATGACTTAAGGGGATTTTAATTAGCACTATTAATTCCTCTTTAGAGCTATGATAAGTTAGAAACTGAATGTATCAAGCCAAGCTGTAGCATATCTTTGTGATTCAATGGCAAAGTGACCATTTAGCTTAATACCTCAAAGCAAAGCTGGAAGATAATTTTGTGAAGAATTTTCTCCTGTGTTTATTTTTATTCAGAATCCTCTTTTGCTGTAGTTAACTCATACTGAAAGATGAGTTTATATAAATCTGTTGGATTGTATCTGAGCTACTGGTATGAAAAGCTGGATGTTAGTCTCAGGGCTGTTAAAAGGTCAATGTAAGTTTAATTTGTATGTGTATTCTACTTTATAAGGTTAAATTAAGATAACAGAAGTTTCATTTATTACTTGGATAAAGTTAAAATGGCTAATCAAAGACATTGAATGACTTAAGGGGATTTTAATTAGCACTATTAATTCCTCTTTAGAGCTATGATAAGTTAGAAACTGAATGTATCAAGCCAAGCTGTAGCATATCTTTGTGATTCAATGGCAAAGTGACCATTTAGCTTAATACCTCAAAGCAAAGCTGGAAGATAATTTTGTGAAGAATTTTCTCCTGTGTTTATTTTTATTCAGAATCCTCTTTTGCTGTAGTTAACTCATACTGAAAGATGAGTTTATATAAAACCGTCAGAATGACAAAGTTTAAATCCTAAACTCTTATGGGATTCTCTCTACTCTGAGAGTGTTCTTTAGTTCTGTTCTAAGCTGTTTGCTCTGCGTTGACGTCCGCAAAGATTTTGTTTTGCTCTTTTGTGTAGTCTAAAGAGGTCATGCCACACTTGCTCAGCCTGACCAGGACCACTGGCCATCTTTGTGGTTCCAAAAGATGCAGCTACCTCTACCCACCAGCAGTTGTGTGAGCAGAGATCTGCCTGGGCTGGGTACTTGTCCTGAGGGAATTAGAAAGCTCCCCAGAAAGCTGGCAGGGAACACTGAGAACAGAGTCATGGAACAATCTGAATTATTCAGAAGACATAGTTATAAAATGCAAAACTGAAACCGTTTTTCTATTTTGTTGTTGATTTTTTAAAACTTTAACTATATGTTACACTATGTTAGGAATTCTTTCAGCGCTAAGTCTGGAGTGACCTTTGAAAAGTGGAAAATTATAAAAGAACTTAAAAGCTTAAGTGGGTGGGAAACTAGAGGGACTGATGACCTACTGCCAGTCAGTTTGCATTGACTTGAAGAATGGCAACTGTTGGGTTTTGTGTCAACAGCCAAGGGGAGGGGAGAAGCTGCCTGTCCAAGAGCAAATTATAGGTGTTGTATGTGGTAGGTAATGTGCTGCTTGCAGGAGCTTGCAAAAAGAGGTGGAAAGTCTTTCTTTGTGTAGAACAAGCATGGATGTAGCTGCTTTCAAGCCCTGGCAGTGCACGTTGAGGTGTAATTCCATTGCAAGAATCAGAGAGATATAAAGGAGGAAATAAAACTGGGGGGGGAAAAAAGGATATTCTCAACCATCTTTGTTTATCTTGTTATAACTCTTCATGATAGCAATTTCTAATCTGATGAATTTTATCAGTGAATGTCACCTGCACTCAGAGTGACCACAATGAATAATAAGCCAGCAGAAAAGCTACTAACAGTATATTGTTATTACACCTACTATACCCAGGACGGCCATTTACATGCCATTAACACTAGCAGGCTCCAGAGACAACCTTCCCAAAACACAATATAGCTTTGCTTTGTTTTGTTTTTTTTCTTTTCTGCTGTTCCATCTTGCTTTCCTCACTGCAGATTTGAAGTCTCTTTTAGCTCCCTCTGTAAATTGGAAATGTTTGCGAGTCATTGCTACATTCATTGTCCATCGGGAAGCCTCTTTGCTTTGTGTTTTTGGAGTTGTTTTGTTTCAAATTCTTTAGATCAGTTGATTAAGGTGTCTGGGTCTCTGATTCTATGTGTGTTTTCTCATCAGTTCCAGCTGAGGGAGGGAGAGCCTTTACCTTGGTCCATGGTGCAGTTCATGGGCAGATGAAGCTTGGAATTGCTGTTGAACCAACCCTGCATTCCTTGCACTTCCTAAAATTCTTTGGCAGGAATTTCAGGCGTACAAGGAATGAGGTATCTAAACTGGCTTGTGTGGTAAGGAATTAAACTGATGCTAAGGAATGTGTCACTAAAATTATGGTTTCCATTCCAGTAGCACTCCTGGAACACAAATCTATTATTGATGAGTGTCGTACACAGGCATTGTACAGAATATTTCTAAGGCTTACCTGATTTATTGTCTCCCTTCAGCATTTCTCCAGGTTTAGCACAATTTTACAGATAGAACAGATGATATAGGTGTTTCAATCTAATTTCAGTGTATGTTTGCTGCCTTTTCTGAATATCTGCTTTGTATTCATGGATTACATTCTGATGATTTGTTTTATTTTTTCTCAACATATATAAGCTGCTGTTTTGCCAGTTAAATCTTATTTTATATCTTGCCAGTATTTATGATGTTTTTCTTGTTATTTCCATGCCCTTGGTGTATGACAGTTCTTCAGTTTGGCATCTTCTCTGGATTTCAGTGTGCTGTTTGTTTCCGTCTTTAAGAAAAAGCATAAAAGCTATATTATGCCAAATCAACAAGGGACTTCTGTGGTATCACAATAGTTACCCCACCTGCTAGCAAATAAAAGTGCCTTGTAGCTCCCCATCAATCTGCTTTTAGTTTTTCAAGCTAAACTTGACAGGGCTCATCATTCAAGCCTGCTTGGGTTATTTTTTTAAATTCTACCAGAGTTGCTTATTTCCCTACGGAAATGGTAGCACTGAATTTTTCCCTAATTTCATAACAGATCCAAAGAAGAAGAGTCGTGTTTGTCTGCTCTGTTATCCGCTTTATTTGGAAATCTGTTTTACCCTTAGTTCCTCTGAGTCTGTTATTTCTTTTCCGAGTAGTACAGTATGTAATTGCAGTTTTTATGGGATATGATTTGGTGAAGTTGCTTGGACTAGGAGAGAAATCAAGACCGTTATTTAGGGGAAGATGTTTCCTGTGCAGTGTCCAACTTTTACCTGGACTTTTGTCATCTCCTGATGCTATGAAATCATGAGGTGGGAGATGGGGGTAATTGTACTTCTTCACCTGTCACAGCATCCCCTAAATCTGATGAGCGGAACAAACTACACCCACACTGATGTTACTAATATACTCTGGGATATGCTGTGGGCTCCACTAAAATGCCACATGAAGCTCAAATTGTGAGGCTGTCAAAAGTTTTGTGTAAATACTGCCGTGTAAATTTAGGAGGCTACGAACAGGTCAGTGTTGCATGTTTTGAGTGGGAGGAATCAGAAGACAGTCCTGCTCTGCAGTGCCAAAAAAAGTCATAAGCTGTTTGCTTTGTGAAATGTTGTGTGTTTATAATCACAATTCTGTTGACTTAAGAACGAAAAGGTAAACAGGAGCAGAAAAATAAATACTTCAGAGCTCTTTTTGCTACTCAACACATTTCATTTCCAAAAGATTTGAGAATATTTAACGAACAGTTTCATGGACACCGAGGAGCTAAAGGAATGATGCAACACAGGAAGGCACCTAAATTAATAGACCCATCTTCTTATGGGTTTCTTAATCTGCAATAATCTTTGAAATTTTTGGGTGCAGGTATCGAGTCCCCCATATGAATAAGATTCTCAGAAAGACATGCACGACTGTAGCTCTGAAACAAAGGAAAGGCAAAATAAATTTAAATAAATCTGTGTTACTGCTAGGTGAGAACATTGGAGGAGCAGAGGGAAGAGCCCCTTGGAGAGGGTCCTTAGCTTTCTGTAGCCTAACAGGTACTTCAAAAGAAAACCCAAGTTATCAGCTGAAAATAGACCCAAGTTTCAGCTGCAGAGGGACAAGGTGGGTTTTTTCTTAATTTCCTTTTTCATCTGTGATTTTTTTTCAGTGTTAGATACATCTAATATTTTGATTTTTCTTTTCAAAGTATTTTGTTTCAAATTTGAGCTAAATTTATGGATGAAAGAGTTAGCACTGTTCAGCAGCCATCTGAAATACTCTGGTGCTGTTAGGTTTCAGCCATACCCGTGCTGGGGAGCGTGGGCAGGAGCAAACAGCTGACAGTTGTCAGCAGATGTGGTAACGTCAGCTA